TTCAAATCTATAATACAATTACACATATTACACATATAATAGTACTGCAGTCTGTATACAATGACTCTGCATCAATACCACTAATAAAAAACTATATGTGTCGTCATATTTTTGTTTTAGAGAAAAACAAATAACACAAATGTATTTACCGAATCGAGGTTATGAGCATCCGTTGAGGATTATATTTTACAAAGTCGCCATAAATGATCGGTAGTCGTGTTTCATATGTCTTTAACGTTAAAATGAAATAGAAATTTACTTGGTCAGTAATTCACATACCTAGTTAACATTTTGTCGTCCACAGGGAGTGCATTATTTGTATCAGAATATAATTTACGTTGGGATGTAATTATTGTGTTGGCCGTGGGTAGAAAATCCACTAAAATGTCTCCGGTTACTTTTGAGATATATATATATTAAATATACGTGTACATGCCAAGAGACCCATTTAACCCGTGACACTCATTTTCTCAGTCATGTTTTGCAGTGATCCAGAATAAAAAGGTTCTCATGACTTTGAAGTAGGTACTACATTTTTCCCACGGTTATGTTAATTTTTTTTTTTTTCATAGCTTATAATTTATAAGAAATGTTTTCTTAGGGTTTTTATTTTTCTTAAATGGTAACTCGTGGTTTTAATTTCATATTCCAAAACAGACTATATTTTTTCAATGTTATATTTTAACTAACAAATCATATTTTACTATATTCTCATTGACACCTATTAGTGAGATGCCTTACACTTTAGTACACTACAAAATGTGCACTTATTTAAACCAACTTTCTTATATACCTGGATTTAGATATAAATTGTCTATAATTCAAGCCCACACACAACTAAATTATAGTGCATTATTAAAAACGTCATCAAGATCCGAAATATTTTAAATTAAAACAATTAACAGAACTATTTTTTAATATTGATCTATTCAGAAAATGTCAGTTATTTATTTTTTTTTTGGACCAAAAAATATTGCTAGGCTTTACTGAGTTAAAACTCATATGAAGGTCCAAGAGTTATTTTGTTTTCAGCACGTTTTTAATTAATACACACAAAAAAAAAATTCAAAAGTAAAAGTTCAAACAGCAAAATAAAACAAACAGTTAAATAAAAATGGAAATTTACGATGCAGGTATTTAAGTATGATATATGGTAGGTTTTGTTTCATCGTATTCATAAAGAAGTCAGTGGATAACGGATTTTTGAAACATCATCGGCAGTGACATAATGGCCACATCATTAGACATTAAATTATGTATCGAACATAGTATAATATCTAGGTTTTTAGAACATTTTAATGATAAATTACTAAATGGCATATCTAATATTGATCTCATGTTTTATAAGAAATAATAGATTATGGATTTTTGGGTAGGTAGGTAGTAAAGATTTTTATTTATAAACTATTTGTATTGAGTAGTGAATTTATTGAATTTTCAAATAATTTGTTGTTAGATATGCCGAATCATAATTACACGCAACACTTATAATAGTATCCTGCCATTTTTTGAGGCTACAGAAGAGCATTATCGTAGGCGCCATCCCGTCCAATTATTTGATATGTGATTAGATACATATATTCAAAGATTGTTAAATGCATAATTTGTATACATTCACAATCTAGTATCTCATGTAGTAATTACTTATTTTATAATATGAATCATATTTTTTAGCTTATTAATAGAATAAATTATTTGATTTGTCCATTTCGTGCCATGACACATTTCGATACCTAAGTATTAGTAGTTTTTAACAATATTAATCGATTTACACTGACAGTATAAATAATTATAATTTATAATACACCTATTGGCAGAATAAAAATGTTTATAAAGAAGATTATACGTCATATCGTTTCTTGACCAGCTGGATTTTGTTCTCCGGAAAACATTTACTTCTAAAAAAAAAAATACTAAGTGAAAAAAATATATTCATGACCGGAAGGTTGAACATCTGTAGAATTGTTTAGTCCCTACAGTTTCACTTTTTACAGTGTCGTTTTTCTCATGATATTATTTTTAGTTCAAACTCAAATTACTAGACTAAACGCAGAACAGATTTGTTAATTTTTATATTTGACAATCATCAAAAACCATTCATTACAAAAAAGATCCAATTTTGTTTGAAATTTAAAATATCGCTCTCCTGAACATGATTTTAATGAATTCAAATTTAACTGATATTATTAAGTAAAACCTTTCTAGTTTGATAATGATTTAATGACCACAATTACTGTTTTATTTTAAATTAAAAAAACTCTTTAATTCTATGATCTTTCCACAAAATTACAAAGTTTATTAAACAAATTAGTATATTACTTTCATCAATCATTAAAAATAATATAATATGAATGAAATACATACAATTGAAATATTATTGTCTTAATAATAAATATGTATGGTCTCTAGACTTTAAAAATAATCATATAAACTTGTAAAAGTTAACGAATGTGTATTCTGTACCTTTGTTTGGCGTTAATAGTTTCGTTTTACTTACAATTATACCTTCAATATTCACTATTTTCTTGATTACAACATTATTGTAACTTGTAAATCATATCCAAGTTAGTGATGTGCATTTTAATATTACACCTCATTGATAACTCATTAGTCATTAAGGGCAAACAGTTTTATGATTTATTTTAAATAGTTATTTTTAAATTTAACGCTGAAAGTTGGAATTTAATTAATTAATTAAGCATTCGTGATTGTGTCCTCAAAGATTTATTATTTATAAATTTAAAACTTTTTAAATAATTCCAATGGACACAATAATAAGTACCTTCACTAAAGATGGTTGAAATATTTAACTACAAATTTATAAACAAAATATTCTCAAATTGTTCATACATCAATAGTTAATATATATAATTAAATGTATTGAATATAATAATTTCTAAAATCACTATAGATATAATAATTAACAAAATTATGAAACCCGTGTATTTTTTTCAGCAGAGTAAAAAGAACTGTATTACTTAAATAATTGCAAATATGTTATATTGACTTTAATTTTCTTATTAAAATTTTATATTATTATTATTTTATTTTAATGTTATTCACAAATAAAAATAATAAAATATGAATAAAATATGCAAATAGAAACTGGACTTTAGTTTGTTCGAAAACTGATCTTGTCACACTATTTGTACCTATAGTATTATTATAAACATTACACAGCATGAGATAGTATCAATATAATTTTAAGAAACGGTAATTACTAGTCAACAAGTTGTTACTAATTTCTAAAATTCGTTGCTTATAATATATTATTATTAAGTTTAAATACTTCAACATTCTGAATGTTTCGATACTGTTCAATAAAATGTTTAAATTAGGTATATCATATATGTTTAGATATATTATGTATTGTTTTTATTTGTTACATATTTTGAGTTATTCAATTCATATCGAAACAAATAAAATGTAAAGCTATGATTACATACACTTCGCAATTTCAAAAAATAATAATGTTTAAGCTTTAAACATTATCATTCAGTTTCTGATCATTTAATCTTAAATATATCTTGTAAGTCTACTTACATATAATTTTTTATTCTAAAACCAAATAATACACTATTCACAAGACTACTCAGAAAAATTACTTTTTATCCAATTCCATGGTTGGGTAAAATGAATTTAAATATTATTCCGAGACAGATTATTACATAAAAGTATAAAACTAACTTCTTATAATAATTATACATATTCTAAGTTAATATTTTGTTATTTATTTAATTTAATTATTTCCTTACATTTAAATAACAACATGTATTATATACTTTACTACTCTTAAGAAGTAATGCATCATAAAGTTATAATAATCATAACAATAAAAATGGAAATGGAAATTTAGTCGACTCGTAAGAAGACTATATCCAAAAATATTTTTGGCTTTCTCATTTTATTGCCTTTGAACGAAAATGTTAGAAATAATATTATTATTATTTTTAAAAATCACCTATATTATGATTTATTCGAAATTAAGTCTTACCTTAATAGTGTTTTCCATTTTTACGCTCGTAATAGTATAATAAATCCATTTATTTGTTCTTGGGTTCGTTTTAAAAGTTGGTGATCTCTATTCTCTATCCGGTGAAATGTATGAAGTAAAGATTAAACATATTAATGAAAAAACATTTTAATGATTTTCATTTTTTTTATTAAATCTTATTCAATGTTTAATCAAACAAGAAAATAGAAATAAGTTATCTTAAATAAGAGTAGAGTAAGTATAAAATAAAAAATGTAGATACGACGAAAACATATTTAGGTTGGGTACCTATCTTAAGAGTAGTGGTGATCATCATTTGATTTTATTGGAGATATATATCAAAATACAAGAGTGCATTTTTTAAAAATTTGTCATATTTCTGATCTGAGTTGTATTTCAATTAACACTGAAAGAAATTAATTTATTCTTAAAAAAGAATTATTTTTAATGGTTCAAGGACTATTAATTAATAATAAAATAGAACTTGTTGACTAATATATATTATGAGAGATTTCATTATACGACGAAACATGGACCTTTAAAAGATAAATTTTATTAAGGGCGTGTTCTCATTGTGCATTATTAATATACTTATGTTATACTGAAAAAACAAATTATAATTGAGTTTAAAAATTAAAACTTTCCAATTATTTAATTAAAATATTATGATATAGAAAAATAATATTCAAATAAAGATTTATGCGTTGCAAAACAAGCTTTAAAAAAAAAATTACAATAGTAATTACATTTAGTTCAATGTTTAATTTTAAATGCAAACATTTTATTATTAAATGAGTTTAAACTAGTTTATGCTGCTGAAAACCATTACAACATTTTATAAAAATAAGTTGTATTCCTATATTAAATTTAAAAAAAATATATATTCATAACTGATGTATTAAGTAGATAATACATACATTTTAAAATTATAAGAGCAGAGTAGTCAAAATTGTTTATTTATTGATGCACCTTAAGAATTGAATTTAAAACTGTCCGGCTAAATATAAATTATTGATAGTTTATTTTCATTAAGACAATGTATTAAAAAATATAACCATCAAAACGCTTCTATCAAAATGTTTAATCTGTAAAACAGTAGCCCATACTAAGCATAGCCGATCTTCTTTCTACTTAATATCATCTTTCGCGATTTGATAATTCGATTCGATAAGTCCTGCACTAAATCGTCGGCATCTCGAACGTTGTGACACTCGTTCCTCCATTTCTGAGCCCACTCTTCTGGTGTTTCCTCTAGCGAATAAGCGAAAAAATAAAACCAATCAATATATATATATATAGTATTATATTATATATATACATATGAAGGTAAGAAAAAAAAATGTATATAACTTTAGCTGAACCTTTTTTATGCGCTTGACTTGGCGTCCAATTTATATAGCTTTCTTGGTACAAAGATCTTGCGTATGTATCGGAATAATTTAAATCCTCGTCTTGACACTGTAGTTGATGATTGTTGATTAAATTTTGTTTTGGAGTGAATAATAAAAATAATTATTTTTGCAAGACAAGTGTCAGAACTACCAATAACTGCACGATTTTGTAAATCCAGTTTTATTGGCAGTTGCTGATTATTCGATTCAATTTAATTTGGAATGCTTTATTATTTATTCTTCTTCTCATCGTTTTAAAATAAGAATATATAATAATTATGGCCAGAGGAAGAGAAACCGAATTTATTATTCTGGACAAAAAAATCATTCTGATGACTGTTTTTTGAATAAAATGTAACATTAGTGGTGACAAACTGGAAGTTAATAAAATTATTTTTTTTTCTTTGATATAATATTTTATTATATCTATATATTGACTTTTTACCAAATTTTACATTTTAAAAAGTTAGTTCTTTAAATTATGTACTATTTTATGTATCACATAAATAATATTAATATTAAGTAATGTTTTTTTTTTTTATAAACCCCAATGCGTTTAAAGCTAAAATTTAAATTAATTTTTATAACCAACTTCTAATTAGATAAATATAAATATTAATAATAATATATTAAATATATATAATGTAATGTTTAATTAGATAGCTATTATTAATCGACTTCATTTAAAATTTAATTATACTTGATTAAGTGTTTCAATATAAGGTACATCCTGATGGGCATTAAGCACTTATTATAAACACTAACCATTTTTTGGCTGGTCTTAAACTTTTTACTAATTAAATTTTGTTCTTGTCCAATTAAAATAAAAACTTGCATAATATATAAGTATATATATATTTAGTTTTATTAACATATTATTATGTATTACATATCATTATAGACACTTAATCATAATAAAAAATTAATTTTATGTATATTTTATAACTGTTAATGTCCTAACAAACTGCTTAGAAAGGTAAGATTACTTATATATTATTTATATTTACAGTACAATAAATTTTGATTAAGCTAAAGGATAAGAACAATAAACGGCATACCTGTGTTTAAGTTTATCTTAACAGATTTAAATGTTAATCTTATCGCACAGCCTCGAGAAATCTATGGAACAAATATTTTTGACCATTTACAATTAAAGTACGGAGCGATTACTATAATTTATTAGTCATCATAATATTACGATTTATTTCTACGAGTTGACTAATACATATTTTAAATTCAAGCAATGACAATAAATTATATTGCACTGTTAGCCCTTACTTGCATATTCTACGTTAGGATAAAAAATGTATATAAACACATATATATATATATATTACTAGCTGATCCCGTGCACTTTGTTGCCCGTTAAAAATGCCAACTCTATATTATGAGACTTGATGGTGATAATGCGAGCCGTATATTATGCCTACCTGCTGTGGATTGAGGATGATAACTTTATATAAATAATAAGTTTTATTTTGATTGCGGGCATGCCGATGAGCGGCTGTAAGTGCAACTTGGCCACCTTGGTAAGTACGATTCAATTGTATGCATGCTTTTACCTGTTCTGCCAGATGAACCACTGTAGGCAACCAAGAAACAAAAAAAAAATACCGATTTCTACTAAATACATTTATATTTCTCCTATAACCAATAGCAACCTAATGATTAATAATAAATAAATAATAAAATTCCTTTGTAAATCTTAAAATCCCTGTTTGAGCAACTCCAAGGGTAGGATCCATTGGGTCCAATTGTGAATCTAAACCATCCAGTGCGTCACCCAAACGCATACAAAAAAATTCATTCAAATCGGTCCAACCGTTTAGGAGTTCAGTGACATACACACCATAGAAGGTTATTTATAGATGAATATGAATACAAATTTAAACATTTCGAAAAATAACTTGATGATGATCAGTTGAGGATACTATAATGCAAATAATTAAATAAAATACTAGATGCGAGATTAATTAATATGTATTAACATAAAATTGATTGAAGGTAAAACATTTATAAATAGTATATTGTTATTCAATGCATTGGAGATTCGAAATAATATAGGTCACTGGGTAATGATTTAAAATAATGTATTTTATATTGTTTGTAAAGTTCGAATGCAGCTTCTAAATAATATTCAATTATGTTGTGTTTATTTATATTTTTGTTTTTAATAATACATATTATACACAAAACTATGAACGGTGGATTAATATTCAACAAACATGTGTCGTTGCATATTTTTTTTTAAATTGTAATCCATCTATATAATTATACTGAAGTTAAAAATTATGGTTATTGAATTTATTTATTTTTTTAAGCATACAGAATTAAGTCTGCATAACTTTGATATATTATGCATAAAAAAAACATAATTACAATTTTTTCTGGAATATAATAACACGTAGACCGGACTCTTATTGTATTATATTTTTTTTCTATAGCTGACTTTTGAATTACAACCCTTATATAGGTAGTAGGTACACGTAGTACAAAACCGAAATACTGCAGAAACCTTTGTATTTTGTCTAAATCGGACCGTTGAAACGTTCATGTTTGTCGAACCGTTCAAAGTCCAAGCTACTTCAGTTTGTTCATTGTTCGGGAGAGTAAAACGAAAACACATGAATAGAAATTCACCAAAAAGTGTATTTAAAATAGATGAGGAATTTAGAGATTTCCGACCTCTCGTTATTGTACCCAGTGAGCAGCTTTTTGAAATAAATTCAACATTTGAATAATTTATAACGTTTCTAAACTTAAATATACACTTATAGTTTATCATATATATATATATATATATATATATATATTTATATAGGAGATCATCCATTTAACGTAAGGCACTCATTATTTACAGAAAACTCTGACGTCTTGGAAAATATTATGCTCACATAATTTTAAGTAGTTACAAAACAACATTTTTGAAAACGTTAATAGTTATTTTTAAATAATGAGTGCTTTGCTTAAAATGGATCATCCGATACGATACACATAACACTACAGTAAAATCTCTAAATACCGGACACTCATGGGACCTAACAAATGTTTAGGTGTCTTCTATTGGGAACAATGAATAAAAACAAAAATCTAAGTTTTACAGACTTTTAAAAAATTATTATGACTATTTTATTCTTCAACATTAAACTCAACCGTACTGGAGCCACGGTAAATATGCGGTACAACGGTAGATACTAATATAAAACATGTCAAGTTGGGAATTCATATAATGTATATTTTCGTCATTATCAATCGTTCGTTTAGGTTTATTGATTGTACAATGTACATAGAGGTACCTAGCAGTATCCATTAAATCATAAAGATAAATGTCTTAATCAGAAATTTAAAAATAGGCCAAAATAATATATATGTATACGAATAATTTTTTGTTTCTCGGAATAGCTTCCGTTATTCAGAGGTATTAAAGCTCACCGGACTACCGAAAATTTGTCTGCTATTTATAGAGGATCGCAATTCAATAGCTCCAATGCGGCTGTGCTGAGACCAGAAATTGTGTCCGTTATTGAGAGTTGTCCGCTAATTATATGTGTCATTTAAAGGAGGTTTCACTGTATGTTATATTATTATATATTTTTAACATAAATGTGTAACGTGTGAGACGATATTTTAAACCTGAACACAGGATGTACCTCTATTTGATTTGTAAAAAAAATATTGTTTTTTTTTGTCTGTTTGGATAGGGAGATTGGTGTTTATTAAACAGTATTTTATTTATTTGAACCAATTGTTGACATTTATCAATTAATTTACTTTAATTTTTACAGAGAGTTGCGCCTATATAATAAGCATCGATCAACACGTGTTGTATACCTAATTTAACAGTTTTATAGAATATAGAACTATTAATATGATTATATTGTACTAAAACAATAGTACTCGTTTCATACGCCGTTAAATATTAGCTTTCAGTGAGGTAACTATAAAAGTTTTAATCGATATTTTTATAAAATCAAACGAAATCAAAACTCTTCCGTTTCGGCTAGATGTAATTAAATAAAGCTCAGAGTACTTTAAAATATTGACACTAACACAAATATACGGTTTAATGATTTCTTTAATACTACAAATATGGGCCATGAATATATAGGTATAAAATGTGTAGTAAATAATATAATGTAGGAAAATTTTGGTACCTACATGAAAATGAATTGCTTTTAATCATAATCTTAAAAAAATATATTATATAATAAAATATATTATATTTTTTATAAGATTTGTATACTATAAGTATAGTATTTAAACACTATAATTATATTAAAAATATTTTTAGTTATTACATTTAATTGTAAAATAGCAGTTAGATACATACTTTTGCTGTTGTACTAGTTGAGTACTCCAAAGGAGGTTCAATTCCCTTATTTTCACTCAGCATTCTGTGTTTTAAAATTTTAGGCGTGTATAGCTGTTTGAACTGATCTTCATTTGGCTTTGGTATCATAGTGAACCCAGGTTCGACTCTTTAATAAAAATCATTTTATTTAAAATTTTAATTGTAAACATCAAACAAAAATATGAAAAATGTCAATAAACCATTAACATAACATAGCAGACACACATGTGATAGATACGATATTTTGGTTCCATACGTGGTTATACTTATCTCATAGATAAGTTCTATTATTGTGACTACCCCTTAGAAGTTAGAACCCCCCCCCCCCATATGAAGTCAAACAATATCATTTATGAATTGGCTTTAGTTAATAAAACTCCTTTACATTTTTTGACTTTAAGCTAATGCATTTATGATACTCATAATGCTTGCAGTGTATAGATATAGTCTAATAATATCGGTTGAGGGGTTATGCAGTCTGGGTTGGAATTCAAAAATTGAAACATTTGTGTTACACATAGTGTTTATAAACATTTAGAATTGTAATACTAACTGATGAACATTGGATTTTGGTATATGTTCCGGCCAGTAGAATGATTTATTGTACGTCGACTTGTACATCGCGATTCCTAAAAATAATAAAGACTAATGATTGTTTAATTACAATTTTAACATAATTCTCTATGATCGCACGTAATCATATTTGTTATTTACGCCGATTTATAACTATGGTATGTTGCATGTACAATTGTTTATAATTAATCATACAGCTATTACATACGTGATGTTCACAATATGTTTGACTGTTTACATATTATGAACTTCCTTATTGGCTACTATAATAAATAAACTAAAATTTGCGGTTTTTAAAAAAAGGATCGAGAAACATAAGATTGATTTTTAATCCTTATTACAGAACAATTCAAAGGTTATATTACAACAAATAAAATTAAAAATGTATAAACAATGTGGGTACATAATATATTATAGACAAACAAAATTTGAAAGAGTATAAGCAATCGGGGTTGCAAAAAAAAATCTTAAAAACAGTTCAGAAAAATACTTAACTATTTAAAACCACTTACTATAATAATTATGATCTATATCTTCTTGGAAAGCAACAAAAAAATATCCTAAATCAAAAAGATGAATACCTACCTCGTCCACTTCAACTATACCATTTTTAGTAATTTCAAACCATGGCAAAGTAAATATATTCACATCAGATCTTGAAAACAGATTTAAACATAATTGATAGAGAGCATTCTTCTCATGTCTAACTGCTATATAAAATAATATTCCAATGGATCCTAAACAACATACACGATGCTCTCTGAAATTCAGTATATTATTAATAATTTACATAACTCTTTAAAATCTTTACTCCGCATTCCACAAAATATGTACAGTTGACTTTTTTCAACTCCAATACCACTTATCATCCACTTAGTGTGATAATACAGTGCAGATAATTACTTTTAGTACCTACTGACATAAACTTTGCCCTAGAAAATCTTCAAACCACCTAAAAAGTGCAAAAGAATACTAAAGTTTACGGAGAATAAAATCATCGACAATAAATCTAAAGATACAAGTATTATGCATTACTTTTATCCTGTATATTAAATGACCAACGAGTCCAGAATCCCAATAAAGAACTCAATCGAATACATCACAGAACTCTTGCTTGATTATATATTAATATGGGATACTTACAATAATTATAAAGAGAATCTTTAAATCTCAGACTCGATAAAATAAGGTAACATCTCTGTTCCAAAATCTCCTTATAGAAAGTAAAATCCAAATTTATCATTCATTGAACCGTGGACTACGGAATTCAGCTTTCAATGTATAGCAAGACATCTAACTTAGAATTACCTATTATAATCCATGAATATTTGGCTTGTAGCTGACGTTCCCTGGTATTCAATCGATACTTCACTACCTCAAAGTCCAAATATTACTTTTAACCACATTCTATTATAATGAACAATTTCATAAACACGACCACACTCAGCCAAATCCTGTTATTACAAATTACTCTAGATAAAGTAAAACTAGAATCTAAAAGTGCTAAAACGCCACGAGAGTTTTTTTATGTAATTCATTATTAGTTTTAGTTTTAAAATGATTATTTTGCTTCAACAGTCCAGCCACAGTAATTGCAGACATCGTAATACACATAACACAAGTAGGTACTTAAACGTCTGAAAAACAATTTTAAAAATCCTTTAATCATCTCAATAAACTAAAAATAAACTGTAAACGTCATATTAATTTATTATATAATATATTCAAGTAAAAAATCAAAATCAAACCTTGAAATTGTATAATGTGAGTAGTTTTAATATACACTCACTTAAACTAGGTATGGGACCAATAGTTTTATATTTTTGTTCACCAGAATTTCTTATTTTATTTTTTCAAAAATCACAATTAAAAAAATATATTGAAATTATCGTATTTTGGAGATCTTTGGTTGGTAAAATATCAATGTATACCTAAATTTATAGTTGATTTAATGTAGACGTACAACAAATAACAATAAATTATGGAAAATTATTTATTGTTTGTAAAGAAATCTTAGTCATTGGTACTAAAGGAATAATAGTATTTAAAAAAATACATTATTGTAAGTTGAATGAATTTTTCTTTATGTATTACAATAAAGGAATAACAAGCGTGAAACTATTTACTACAACATATTATTTAGTATTGCGTAGTTCATAATTATTAAATGTAATTTATCGTTGTATGTCTTCTCCAGATATTATTCGTAAAATATCATATTATTATGTTTTTGAAAATTTTTATTGTAAATATAAATAAGATGTTTGACATATTATTAAAATGTTTACAATAAAGTATCTACCTCCTTTAAGCACAATGCTTGTGTTGGTGGTAGAGAGTTACATTACATAATAGACAAAATTATATACAAATAAATCTAATTCAAATTACAAAACAAATAGAATACAGTAACATAATACATTTCATAATTGATATTCAATGTTTCATATCTTATTCCACACATAATTATATAAAATTTAAAATTTATTTATTTATTTTCTACAACTATATCAGTGAAAATAACCATGAGTTCAGTTGTTTTTTAATGCACGTAATTCTAAGATTCCCAATTGAGTAGTAGATAATTTTTTTTATGTGTAAAGGCATTGCATTATAATAATTAGGACCTAAATAATCAATAAAATGTTGACCAAAAGATTTTTTACAATAAAATACTTTGACATCAAAGGCCATCAATTCGCGTTTTTTTCTCATATTTTCCATAAGAAAAAAATTTTTATAATTTTTTATTATGTGCATAATAGATACCTTTTTATATACACTCTCGACCGGTAACACATTCAACAGCTTGAAATTTTCACTAGTTGAACCTATTAAATTATTTCTACCTAAACAAATTCTGATAACTTTTCTTTGTAATAAAATTAGTGGTCTAACCGCGTTTTCATTCAAACCTCCCCATACCAACAAACCATACTGAAATATTGCCTGGAATAATGATAAATAAATTATACGCATCACGTTCACAGGCAGGAAATTCCTTAATTTAAAAAAGCAAAACGATAATGTACGCATGCGCATAACAATAGTCTTTACATGCAAATTCCATCTCATATTATTATCAAAAATTAAGCCCAAATATCTTATACTAGAAACCATGTATATTTTATGACACATGTTGTCATTACAGTTATCTCCATTACCACAAAAACAGAGTTTTAAATCATCATGATTGTTCTCTTCTTTGTTTATTGAAAAATTTATAAAATTAGTTTTATTATAATTAATTGATAGTTTCCTATGATTTAGATAGTTAATCACTTTTTTTAATTCTTTAGTTGCTTTTAAACGAACATCTTTCCACGACACACCGGAAAACAAGATACATGTGTCATCCGCATAGGTTGTGATTTGTCCATCAATTTTTAAATCACATATTGAATTAATGTATAATATGAATAATAAGGGGCCCAGGACACTACCTTGTGGTACTCCACATTTAATACTCAATGCTTCACCTGAGGAGTTCATTATTTGCACAATTTGTTTCCTGTTATCCAAATAACTTATAAACCATTTTAAACTACAATTATTTAGACCAAAACTTTGTAGAATGTTACAAAGTTCGTTATGATTGACCGTATCAAAGGCTTTAGCTAGATCTAAAAATATTGCCATTGCTTTATTGTTATTGTCAAGCGCATTATATATGAATTTGCTAGCACTGTACAGTGCATTTTCTGTACCCAACCTGGGTCTAAAACCAAACTGGTTTTTCGACAGTAAGTTATTATTTTCCAAAAACTCTACTAATCTATATTTTATAATTTTCTCTAATATTTTTGCGAAATTGCTTAACATTGATATTGGTCTATAATTATTCATGATCTTTGAGTCACCATTTTTATATAATGGTTTGACAATTGCAAGTTTAAGTTTGTCAGGAAATATACATTCAGTAATACTTAGGTTATATATATATATGTTAAAGGTTCAATAATATTTGTAGCAATAGCCTTTAATGTTTTCACAGATACTCCATCAAAACCTGCAGCAGTTTCATCCTTCAAATTATTTATTATTTTTATAATTTCTTGATTGTTAATTTTCTCTTTAAAAATCATGTCAAATGAGGCTTTTGTGCTTGGTTCATCATAAATAAAATCCGATTTTTTTATTTTACATGCAAGGTTACTACCAATATTTATAAAAAATTCGTTAAACAGGTTTGAAACTCTCACCGGATCTTCCGAAGGAATTATAAGTTCATTGTTATGGATTAAAGTTTTAATTGCATCACCTTTATTAATTTTAGACACTGTGAACTCTTTTATTAATTTCCATGTTAATTTTGGACTATATGATATATCAGTAAATTTTTTTTTATAAAAATTATTTTTTGAAGTTCTTAAAATTCTAGTGAAAATATTTCTGTATTTTATATAATATGAACGCAAATTATCATTATCCGGGTGTTTTTTTACTTTTAAAGATAATGCATTTTTTCTACGTAAAGAGCGTAGCAGACCAGGAGTCATCCATTCCTTTATATGATTATTTTTCGCATTCGATTTTTTAAATGTTGTCACCGAATTTATCGCACGAGCAATCTTATCCATAAAAATATTATAACAATCATTAACATTAGTGATAGCTAACTCTGACCAGTTTTCTAATTTTAAAAATTCATTTAACTTATTATAATCTATAGTTTTGTATACATTATTACCAAGTGATAACGAAATGTTATTAAATTCAAGAGCAATTACTGTGGAATAATGATCAGAAATATTTGTTTGTATAACACCTGCCTCAACTCTATTATCTACATAATTATTACATTTTAGAAATATATGGTCTAAACATGAATGCGAACATCCCAGAGGAGTCCTAGTAAATACATTGATAAAAGAACTAAAGCCGTGTGCCGATAAAATAATAATTATGTTGTATAATAATATACATTTATTAAGAAAAATAATATTTCATACACATATTGTTATGTCAAACGCTCTACTTACGTTAATATGCATGTAAAACTAAAAACAAACCTCGTACATTATACTTTATATTATACATTATAATAATAATAATA